ACAAGAATTGAATCCAGGGCCTCAGACATGCTAGACAGAGATATATCACTTAGTTAAGTTTCCCTGCTCTTTAATATATTGAGATTTTAACCAATGTACTGGCATAAGAACACTAATAGCAATATCAAAATAAGATCTGATTTATTTTTACCTGACTTTCATGCTGAAAAACCACAAGAATGCTGCCAAATCTGCATTTCATACAATGCGTTAAAGTGATGACCATCTAATGTCTGAAAATAGTGTTTCTTGGGGCCAGGGAGATGGCTCAGTAGAATAAGCACTTCCCTGGAAAGCGCAAGGGCCTGAGTTCAATCCCTGGTTCCGAAAAAAAAAAAAAAAAAAAAAAAAAAAAAAAAAAAAAGTAGTGTTTCTTGAGCTTCATGGGAAATAAATATTAAATCTCCAAAGTTTCACCTAGAAAAAATTCTTAAGGTGCTTTTACAGCAGAAACATCAGTTATGGGGTAGAACAAGCATGTGAAATACCAGTTTATAAGATTAATTAAAATTAATTTTGATAGCTATTGTTTCCATTTCTTTTCATAGATATTGATGTCAAGATCTTTTCCTTTGAAAAGAAAGGAATCACACATGCCACTAACTGAAGTAAATTAACAAACAATGGGGACCATACTAAGTGACAACTTTGCAGCTTAGAGATGGGAATTAGTATAAAAGGACTTCTAAAAGCACTTCTAGAATACATCTCAGAAGCTAAGCTTTTGTTCAGATTCTTCTTCAAAGTTTATCAATCCAGCTTTAAAAATGACCTTTGCAGAAACAAAATCAATATAAATTAGGGCATCTGACTTCACACTTGAAGAGCAGATACAGTATTTGGAACGCAGATCCATGGTAACGATCTAGGCACATTGCAAATGATGATCCGTCTCGAGAACTTCCATGTTTGTGTGAGCTACAAGAGCTACCTCACTTTAGGCTCCTCATTAGAGAGCACAGGCAATGATTGTCATGCAGTACCACTGCTGTGCAGCGATTAGGATAAGTTTGTTACTTGCTATGCCTGTGACAGGTACTAGCTCAGGAGCTTGACAGCAATCTTCGGAGGCAGATTATTTTTCCCCACTTCAGAGTTGAGGCATCCAAGACCCAGAAGCTGCGCCAATAGCCCGCAGGAAAACAAGTGCTGGAAGGTTTGCATCCAAGCCTGGGTCCTTCTGATGCCCACATTCCCTTCAGAAGTGGATGCTAATTGCATGCACACATCTCTGGAAGATTTTCATATAGCCACAAGAAGTGGATTTCCCTTATATCTTGCAGATTTTTGATGTACATAAATAATTATATATAGCAGAAGTAGAACCTAGTAACACCTTCACATAAAAACTTCAAAATTAGGATTTAAAAAAATAGAACCCTGCTAGCAAAGCAAAAACACATCCTGCTACCAACAGACAGCAACAACAAATACAGTTTTGGTACTCAGAATTGGGTAAGTCATTCACTAGAAAATATTTGCTTAAAGTCACGAGTTCATGTACACAGACGTATAAGACAACCCTTAATAAAACAGCAAGAAGACTTCACTGGAGGGAATTGCTCTAAAAAATGTCACCATAATTTACTACAGAAAAACATCCAGCCAGCACTGTTTGTGTGGAATAAGATGAAAAGCCTCTATTAACGCTAATTGAAACCCTCACACTCTCACATAGCATGCACAAAATTTACTTCTACACTTATTCTCTCCACCTCTAAACTGTAATAAGTCCATGCCAAGTACCAGCTTTTTAATTTGAGCAATCATGTATGCAAATTGATACCTTTTTTGTGATTATACTGACAATTTAACACAGGCAAATTCTTACTATTTGCAAAGCAGACAAAGTCTTAATTGTCATTTTTCAAAAACAATAAAAACTAAATTTCCCAGCTTAAGAACTCAACTAAAAGCTGAAATTCTTTCTCAATGTTTGATATTTCAACAACATTCTTTTAACAAATATGAGCACTAATACTTGGGGACAAAACAGTCATAATCTAACTTCTATATACAAATGAATAAAATGACTAGTGTGACATTCTTCATGTACACAATGAGTGAAGATTCCCATCTCTATATTATGTGAATATTATTATAAATATATACATAAGGTATATATACATATATCTGTATAAGAATGCATCCATACTCCGGTGAAAATATTGTTTGACAAGTTTTTAACCACATGAGTCCATGGTACCATCTTTCTCTTGAAGGATAAATTATAAATTATGACTTCAGAATTTGCTTTAGCTTATAGAGTTAAAACCTCAGGTAAATGAAATTCAAACCCACTACCTAAATGAAAATAATTCATGATATTTTAAACAAACAATATTTGAAATATCATCACTCCTTCATTCCTTAGCTATAAAATATATTATATTTTATTTTGGGGACATTAGCAATGACTTCCTGTTTCACTTGTGGCAAAAAGGCTAAAAACAAATAATAATAAGCTTCTCTTCTGGAGGGTTAACAACCTAAGTTTGCAGACCAAAAATTAGAGAAAAAGAAGGTCTGCAAGGACAGCCAATATTTTAGCCTTAGCCTTTCAAGGTCAGTGAAGACTCAGGACATCGGAGAACCGTTACTGTAACACGATGTAACTCAGTTGTGGCCCGAATTTTCTTATCAAGGAGATTATTGGGCCACAGAAGAAAGTGATTGATGATGTAGAGTGTGCCTAGGAGAGTCACATGGAGAGAAAACATTCTCTCAAGCTTTCACAGAGAGCAAATTGGTCAAGCAATGAGCATGACTCATGCACATGGCTGACACTGACAAAGGATCTACAAACTGCAGTACAGGGTTTCAGCATAAATCCTGAGGGGACTTAACTGACCTTATCAGATACAAAGTTGCATTTCTGGTTATATAGATCTTGCTTTATCTTGGTCTTTACCATCTAGCAGAAAGTATAAAAACGAGGTATAAAAAGTAAAGGCATAATAATATGCTGAGCTGTGAAAGGCTCAAGTCAACAACTTCTGACATTGCCAGTCTTAAGGAAAACCCACTACTATTATGGACTACTGGATTATATTGGAATATTTTGCTCAGTTTATGCATCTACAATATTTAAAGGACAATGGAATGCTCTTCTATTACAAAACTAACCAAAAAAGGGGATACAAATGAGTGACCATTTTGTATCTGTATATTCAAAATAGGATAGATATTCAGCTGCATTCTCTTAACTCAATGAATAGAGAGATTTATTCTAATAGTGTCTGTGGACAGGCTATCATGTCTGCATCTAGTACAATGAATAATCACTAAGACAACAGTATGCAACGTATTAGTTATTGAAAATGTGCTAGTAATCGATTTTGAGACTGTCCCATTGCTATTTGTTTCTCAATAAAATTCTTTGAAATAAAGTCTAAAAACAATTTATAAGTAGGATATTTGCTGGCAAAATATAAATTCTGGCTGAAGAATATTGCCGTTGTAAAATCACACTTTTCCTCCATGACTACAAATGATTGATTCTTGTGCGGGTTCCCAACTGCAGCATCCTGAGGTTAAAAAGCTTTGCTGTAGATAGGGGATCAGATGCTGCAGTTAACTTAGGAGATTCTTCTTGGAGACTTAATAAGAAGAGGCTTTTGATTGCACTGCATATTTAGATTTTTCTTTCCTTAGAAGATAATTCAAGCTATTAGCAGCATTGCTGGTTATGGAAGGAAACGTGGTCACTCAGGCTGAAGCCTTCTACAGTTATAGAAAATGCCACCTAATTTGTTATTCTATCTGCAGAACAGAAAGGAATCGATTCATTCAATCAACAGAGAACTAGGAGCATTGCTTAAGTATAAGCAATATATTGCAGTGGCACTGAGAAGAAAGAAATTATGGTTAGATAAGTATATCTAATCTATCTTTCTATCTTTCTATCTTTCTATCTATCTATCTATCTATCTATCTATCTATCTATCTATCTATCTACCTATCTACCTATCTACCTATCTACCTATCTACCTATCTACCTATCTATCTACCTATCTACCTACCTATATGGGCAAAATCATTGGCCAGCAATAATTTAGAATCTAGTTAGTTTCAAAATGTATATAATGGACTAAGAAAGCAGAATAATATACTAGTAAAGATATGGCAAAGATGTAAAAAACAATAAATTTAGAAAATAGGAAATATTAACAAGTGAACTCTAATTAATAAAAATAATGTATATTTGGACTAGTTTTATTTCTACCAAAATTCAGACACTTGTATTTTAATTTTATACTATACTTTATCTTAGACAACATTATTAGGTTTCATTACAAAATTTAACTTTCAAATGAAGATGAGGCCATTCAGTTGTGTAAATAGAAATAAAGAAGTTAAAAGCTATTCATGACTCTCTTTAAACAACATTAAAGTCAGTCTATTCCAGGAGGGAAATAGACACTCAAAGAATCGAAATTACAGATTATTGCAAGTGAGATAAAAGTGTTTTGTTTTAGCATTTCTTATAAAAACTGGGATTTTTTTTTTTTTGTACTTTTCTGTTATGGGTATTTTCCTGATGTATCAAATAGGTTCACTCAGACCTACGGATCATCAAGCTCACAATATGTCCCAGAGGGTTTCCTATGGCACTCTGCAGCATGAGGTCACCCTTGCACGTGTTCCAAGTGCGGAGCACATGAGAGCATCTCTCATGAAGCATCAGGGACAGTACTTTCTCTTAGGGAACGTTTTGCATTCTGCAGTGTGCAAACAACAGGCCAGCTTTGAACAAATACTCCAGAAAGACTCCATGCCGGAGCACATGGAGTCAAAGTACACAAGGGAAGAGTCAATTTCTTGTAGATACATTTTTAAATCTGAGAATGATTACCATCAATTTTTCTAAAATGGCAAAACAATGAATAGTTTTTAAGTACATGGGCTGGAAGAAAAATGACAAAGTCTAATCAAAATGTACAATGAACTTATTGAAGGCAAGAATCTCCTTTTAGAAAGTTATTAAAAGTGAAGCTTACCTGATCTACTATCCAGAGGTCCAAAATCCAAAGAGTATTTCACGACATGATAATTATTCCACACATACAGCAAGTTGTCCCTGGGATTGTAATCCACAGCTGCTATGTACTGGTATGAATTGGGGAAGGGGACATCCACCAAGCTATCCTTGCTTTGGTCGGTGTTGTAAATGTAGTCGATCTTATTCCCAGTAGCCTCATTGTCATCATCCTCATACACAGATTTGACCACATACAGAATCCCACAAATCATAAATGCATTAGAAGCTGACCTTTTATCATAGGCAGTATCCCACGTCCCTTCAATCCGTAGGGTGTAAGGGTTCAACTGACTAATGACAATTTTCCCATTGTTTTGTTCTGTTGCATAGATTACCCACAGGCCATTTTCATCCACTGCGAGGTCTATGTCAGATTTTCCTCCCCATCGGTAAGGGGAAGTATCATGATAATTGGCATTGGCGATGATTGCTTCTCCACTCTTTATCCTAGTCCGTAAATCAAACTTGACTATGTTCCTGGTGCGCTCTTTATTGAAGAACAAAGCTCCATCATATACTACAAATCCTGTGCCATCAACCCTGTGGGGGAGCTTGTAGGTCGTCGTTGGCCTACCAGCAATGAAGTCATCTTTGGATGAATACTCAGTCAGGGTATCAGTTCGGTAGGGAGTCCAGGGCATATAGTAAATCTTGTCGGAGGCCTGTAGAGGGTCTTTGCACCATGCCCCAGACTGGTGGTCAGACTCAAACAAGTGTTCACTCTGATACACTCCTCTTAGTAGTCCGGGACAAAGAAAAACTGTTGGGAGGGAAAGAATTACAACAAAAAACATATTAACTTAATATTCTCTCATATATTCTTATTTTCCACCAGACAGCATGAAAATACAACAAGAGACACCCACCACCACCACCTTATTTTGATGCATGGTTTTGAGAACACAATATTTTTGCTCATGGTAATTTTGGATGTTTTTCTAAATCAGTTTGATTTCCTTTACAAAAATAAAGTTTTGTCTTTTTATGAGTAGTTGTGCTTTCCTGTGGTGTTTTTTTTTTTTTACCTTGGTAATGATGTATTTATACTACTTTTTGGCTATCTTTATTAAGTTCAGCATGTCTATGCATTTTATAGACATATAACAAATACAAAAGAAGAATATTTAAAACATAATACTTAGAAAACAAAATTTGAAACAATAGTTTTGTTAGTTCATTGAAAAATATATCATTTTTCAGAAATGAAAATATATCGTTTCCACTCTGACAAAATTATCTCTGTAGCAGTTATCCTTAAGAAACAGATGGATTTCCCACAATATTTTTTTTAATAAAGGAAAAATTCTGGAATACAGGGCCACTGCATGGTCTAGTAAAAAAAGCTCTTGAAGCTGCTGCAACACACACAGAGCATGCAACCCACACAATTAAAAATGAGTGATGGATGGATACTGGAAGAAAAAAGAGAGGAAGGAAAAGAAAGGAAAGAAGGAATAAGGAAAGAAGAAAAAGTGTAAAGTTACAGAAAAGAACCCCAAGTGCTAGATTTTAATCAGTTAAAAAATGTCCTGTTAAATACAGTAGTACTGAACTTAAAAACATGTACCTTTTACTGTTACATGAGAAAAGCATTAAAAAACAAGATTGCCTGCTCTATTTTGCTGCTCATACTTCAGAACGGAAGCGGGCAGGAAGCGTCCGGCTCCCTTGCTTTTGAGTGGGATGCAGTAGCATATGTGAGAGGTGGGAAAGAAGCTTGGTGGTTCACCTGAAACAAAGGGGCTGGAAAGCAATGTTTCCCAAAGTGTGGTCCTTGAAGTGACTTTTCGAGTGGTATGACTAAATGGTTCCCAGACAGCAAAAAGGAAGCAGAGCCACCCAGTTAAAGAAATGTCTCAGTAGATGTAATTGAGGCAGAGATTCAAATAGCGTAGGCACTTTAGCGAATCTCCAAGGCAGAGCTGGGAGGGGGAGCGAATCTCCCAAGCTCACTTGATCCTGGAATCTTTTCCAAGGAACTTCTTTGGTTTGTGGCTTTCCACTGAACCTGCTATGGGAAACACTGCTCTAATATATTTATAAAGCAAACACGCTGAAAACTCATCATGCAGTCTACTAGTATGTTTGTAATGATTAGAAGTACTGGATGAAAAAACTGGGAAATCACCAGGAATTTGGGCAGTGATCTGTTTTTTAATGATTAAAAGATTATTCTTTCAGCATTAGTGATTAGGTTTTTAATAGCAATGATAAGCACAGATCCAATGGAAAACAGCAGTAAGATGGAACAGCTAGGTTATGGGGATTATAGAAAAAATGCGATTATTAGTATTTCCAAAGTCTTGCTTTTGAGGAAATAAAGAGTGTGAGGGGAGGCTGGTTACCAAGATATTCCATAAAACATATAGAGGGCCACTGCCAGTTTATAATTAATATGCATCAATAAAAATAGTCATGATTATAAGAATTTCTCAGGATCTTTTCATGATCACTTCAATCCAAAAGAATAGTTACCCTTTGTTGTCAAATGTTTATATAATTTTGTCTTATTGTTACTAATCAGCTATTGGTTATTAAAGTAATTTAATATAATAAAAATTATCTCCTTCTTCTTGTAATAGTGAAAATTAATGAACAACAGAGCTATGCAAAATAATCCAGTACAAAAATAGAAACAAATCTGAAATAATAAGTATTTTTCACATTTACTGGATTTCTAACTGCTTATTTAAAAATAAAAAGGAATAAAAGACAATGTTGAAAATTTTACAACATTAAACTATGTTAGCGTAAGAAGATCAAAGCAGCACTGGTCAGTAAAACAGATTAAGGTGAAGTTGAGCAGCAGAAGTAGTAAATAAACTCTCACAAAATAGATAAGAATTAATAACAAAAGTATTTTAATTAAATGTTAAACTGTTAAATAACTTAGCCTATAAATAGTATATAATTTAGGAAAGGTATTTAATTACCTTTTTGTTCCACTTCTATTGGAGAGAGAGAAGTAAAGAGAGAAAGGAGAAAAGAGAATAGATTAATGGTACGGTATTGGCCAAGCACGTAAAATTCACCTCTTCCAAAATGAAAGCAAATCATTTACTTCACGCACACCTGCTTCATTGAACATTAGGTTTTCACAAAAGCCCATTTCTCTAATACCCTTATTGCTTTAAAATAAGCATATGTTTTAAAATTCAGTATAAATATGATGAAAATTAATCAAAGTAAGAGAATAAACACACCATTCTAAAGACATAGGGAATGCAGTATTTATAATAAGAACATCAATATTTCCATTTGAAAGAGCAGATCAGCAATTGCACACACAGAAAGCTCTCAAATAGTTTGGTTCATTTCACCTATAAATATCATGGTTTGACACCACTGTTTAACATAATAGTCTTGGTTTTTATGGTGTTCAAAGAATTGATCTTTTCAGAAGAAATACATCTATAATTCACTCGTAGGGTCTAAGAGCTTTCATAGCTTGCTAGTCTGTGAGATAAACAGTAACAGGCCACTTTCTTCCCTTGTAGATGGACTTAGAAAAATTTATTGAAGAAACTGTCTTGGTCACCAATGCTTGATTTTACTGTGAAAGTGCCGTTCAGAGAAACCAGTTACCAAAGGGGTGACCTAAATAATGAGTCCCTGATTCTGGCCTTTGCTGAAATGTTTGAAGATTTTTTGTAACTAGTGGAAATAATTTGAGATCCTCAAACTTGTTATTCTGATATATCTCTCATATTTAATGTTGTTTTTAAGGGACTGAATAGAAGGAAAAAGTCTCCCACAAGCTGGAACACACTCATGATACCTATCAAGCACACTTTCTTTTTCTGTTTGCTCATTCATTTTTGCCTTTTATTGGAAACATTTTCCTGTTTACAGTGGTTTACATCCTGTGATTCTTTTCTTGTATTCATTTACTTCAAAGTAACCCGGGCAAATTTGGTTTCCTTGTGGCATTAAGGAAATATAATAGTTTTTATGTAAAACACATGATGGCATACTTTCTAGTGGCCATGTGTGGTAACTGGGGACAGAGGGAACAAAACCTCACTTTCTTTATCTTGTAAACAGTTGTCTAATTAGACATGGTTTGCCAATATCTTAAGGAAAAAAAGAAACTAATAAGAAAAGGGCAAAGATGTCAGGATGAATGGCTGCATAATAAAAACTCAACATAATAGCTAATGTTGTAGGAAAGCACTTTGAATGAAAAGGATGAACTAAAATGTTTTGCTCAGTAAAATAAAGTGAAAACTGGGAAAGTTTGACAAACAAGAAAGAAACACAATTCTCAGTAATTATATTTGAGTTAGATTTAGTGCTTTGATATAAATTCTTCAACCATTGTCAAAACCAAATATTTTTCTATCCACTAACTTTTCTTTGGAACCTCAATCTCACATGTTAGAATCTATAATTATACATCAAAAATTTTTTCAAAAGTTATATTTCACCAGTGTTGGGAAGGCTGAAAACAGGAGGATCACTACGAGTCCAAGCTGCATAGTGAGACCCTGCACCAAATACATTAAAAATAAATAAAGAAGATAAGTTATATTTCACTAACTATAAATCCTACCTTTAACAAACTTTTTCAAATTCTTATAAAAACTCTGTTATTTTGTCACAATTTATCATCCTTCCCAATTACTCTTCATCAAGTCACTACCTGGTTCAGCTGTATGACTCAATACACTTCATCCTAAGAGTTGTATTTCACGGATCCACTAAAATCCTAACCTGTTCTCAGACTGACAACTAGAAGAGCAAGCACCTGAAGCAGTGATGTAATCAATATTTTCAAAAGTTTGGACTTGAAACTCATTATAATAAAAATTGGGGATGGGAAATTATACTAAGTTGTCATTTTTTCAATTACTTCTCTACAAAGGATTTCTAACTACAATATTTTCATAAAACCTTAATTTCTCTCTTTAACATCTTCTTGATTATGTATCTATTATATTATGTAAATATTGTCATACTATTTAATATAAATTTGGGTTTATTATAGAATTTTCAGGTGCATTTTTCCATTGTGATTTGGTAAATTTCACTTTTAATTTTTGGTATTGATCTAATTTCTAAGATACTGGCATAAGCTGTATATAAGTAAAGCTTAATTCTTAGTTGGTGGTTACTCAAAAATAAGATTCATTACACCGTCCTACTCTGGAGAAAATTATTACGGCCTTGCCCCCATGTCATGACTGCCTGAAGCTCATTTATCATTTACTTGCTATTTTCAAGACTGTAGTAAAACATTCTTATAATTTAAATTGAAACATGTACACACAAATCATATTCCTATAACAAAAACTGGCAGAAAACATAATTGGTGGTTGAAAAGCTTAGTACCATTTAGAATGAGCCAGTCACTGCCTATGGTCTAATTCTGATTCCAGAAGTTTCTCTTTCCTGAAGCAACAGACAAATTCATTACAAAACACAAGAACACTACCATTTTCTTCATATCCACACAGTGCCTGGCACATAATAAATATAGAATGAATAATCCTTGAATTAAATGAATAACTAAAATAACAGTGACCTAATTTAGCTTGTTGATATTATATATGCTTCACACAAAGAAATGTGGTGAAACAGAACTTGTGGGTACTAGGCAAAATCACTTGTGCAATGCATTTTTTTTTTTTTTTTTTTTTTTTTTTTTGCAATACTGGGGATTGAACTCAGGACCCTGTGCTTGCCAGACTGCAATGCATTATCTATCAATTATCTTTAAACCCTTTAATGAATGGAGAGGAAAGTAAGACTCATGGGAAC